TCTATCTATCCATAATGGTTTTCCCCTCCCTCCATCTTCTCATGTTTCTGATGATGTGAGAAAGATGCACATTAAAGGGATAGTTCACAGAAAAATAAAAATTCACTCATTATCTAGTCACCACTATGTCGACACTTAAGGAGCTTCATGGGTAAATAGCGTTGCAGCCAAATCCAAAACTATTGAAGTAAATGGTGACTGACACTGCCAGACTGATCTCATCACTGAGATTTTTCCAAACCCTGACAGAAAAGAACCCGTCACTTTTAGTCCTCAGGTGGAACTGTGGAACAGTGAATAGGGCCTTTTACCATCACCAAGGAATGTACCAAAGTACAAAAATGAACCCACAGTACTTGATTTGATGTACTTTGTTACCATCCCCCACTGAGACTATCCCAACCCTATTGATTTATCACAAAGTAAAACAAAGATTGTTCTTTTTTGACATTCCCCACTAATGGTGACCACAGGGTCTCTGCCCTCCATTTGTTCCCTCTGTGAAAGGGTTGTTTCAGGGGAGAGTTTCCTTATGTAAAACAAGGGTCTAAGAAGAAAGAACGTTTATGTGCTGTACATATATTAAAGATCCTTTGCGATTTGTAATATTGGGCTACAATAACAAACTTAAGGCAGACAACTGAACTTCATTTTAGAGTTTAGAGTCTGCTAAGGAACGTGCAGTTCAACCATTGTGATGAACAATCATACATTTGGTGATTTACTGTAAGGTGGCTGCAGTTTCTTGTGTGGGGACTGCACGTCAACAAAGGATCTGTCATTTACGAGCCATCCCAGCTTTCTTTTACTCATCAACATCTTTTTTCAGGATCCTCCTACATTTAACCAACTCCAATTATCTTACTTCCCACTTCTGGGAAGCATTTGGAAACCCAGGCTGATGGGGATTTCCCTCTATCTCCCTCCATACAGTGACATCACGGTCTGACCTTACTGTAGGATTTTTTTTTGAGTTTCACATTATACTGGAATATATACAGTTATGAAAAGAAACAGTCTGCAGCTATTAATTCAGTATGTGACAGTATGGCCAAGAGACACAAACTGTTTTAACATGCATTCATTACAGCACTGTAAGCGACTGTGAAATGTTGCAATACTACGCTATGTTTACACAATTCAGCCACTAAGATTTCAAAATTACCCCGACTGGAGAGGAAACAGTATACTGCGTTGGACGAGCTTGTACTCCGGGTCATCAGTTTCTCGGATGCAACTGTCATCATGCCACCTCATCTTAGATGTCCGACACGTCTATACCTTTCTTTGTCTTCAAAAACAAATCACAGCGATGATGGCGGTGATGACTGGCAGAGCTGGTGGTGGTGATGAATGAATGTAGATGATGATTGAACATAAAAAAGTAGAAGCCTGTAACTTTGCTGAATGTGCACATACATGCAAAGTTCACATACTCCATAAACCTTCACAAATACATGAAATATGAAGAATAAACGGACTTTTTCAAAGCCTGATGTGATGAACCTGTGTAATATTTCCTGGTATTGATCCTCTGTTAAAGCTCAGCAATATGTTCTATTCGTGCCAGTTACTCTCAAAGATTAAAAGACTGAAAGTAATGAATACAAATAATAAATTACAAAGCAATAGATATTAATTATGTTATTAATTTCAACTTTTTAATCTTTGTGAGTAAGAGAGCACACAAAATGAAATGCAGTGTGAGAGCAGGGGCTGCTCTCCTCTCCCTGCAGCTAAAGCAGCAACCACAGCAGTTAGCAGTTCCCTTCCTCAGAAACAAGTGGTGCTTTTATCAGCGTTAAGCAGAACTTCCGTCAGCCAACATCCTTCTTCCCTCTCTGTGTCTGTATCACTAACCAGCCTGGATCTTTATTGTTATGGACACACAGGCCTAAATGCATATAAATTACCACCCATGCATGTACACGCAAACATTCACAGTCGATCAAAATAAGAATCTTCTTAATTTTCTTATTTGTGTCATATTTTCCAACAACAGTTGGATGTGAATGTAAGAATGTAAAAAACAAATGGACAAATACAAATGGTATTTAAAGAAGATACTCACACTGTTGTTGCAAAATGTCTTTATCTTAACATCTTGAGATAAGCGTTATTGAGACATTCAGAAGAATGATGGTGCATATTCAGGTTCCTCATTTGCTCTGTTTCAGGTGGTGATAATGCGTGACCATCATGGTTTTAGAAGGAACAGGGAGGGAAACGTTTCTAAATCACATGTCGGTCAAATTATTGTTCAGTATTCATAAATGTATTCCAGTTGAGTATCACTGTGTTTATGCATATGACTATTTTTATATGCATGTTATTTGATGTGTTGAATTTATTGTATTAAACATTTTAACAATCAAGTTTACAAGTAGTTAATCATTAATATGAGTATAAAAAATAATACTCCAACTGCACTCTCTATTTTTTCTTTCCTTTCCCAGAAACCAACTCCAAAATATCCCCTATTTTGAGACCACAACCCAACACACACACTCATTTTGTTTAGCAGTGAGGTGGTTTTTCCGCTCAAGTCTGATATAGCTTTCGGGATGTTAAGACAAAACCAAAGATGCCACACTCCTCCATCTTTAATGAACAAATGAAATGTCATGGAAACACCAAGATATATATATGAGGTGGGGAAGAAAAAAACATATTTTTGCCATTAATTTAAGATACGCTTAAAATCTAATGGTCATTAAGAGAATGTAAATGTGAGTCAACTGTGGGCAGTTCCAAGCCAGCACGTCTGGTCTATTTTTGAAGTGGCGTTGTTCGTGGTGCTGAGGTGCATGACAAGGAGAGACTGACACCCCGGAGAGGTCTAGGCAAGCTGCACAGCAGAGATGTCAAAGACTAATTGAGGCAAACAAACACAAACAGGGAACGTGGGCGTTGACCTGGGAACTGTGTCCAGATTGGAAACCGCTGTGGTCACAGTAATAACAGGGTGCTCTTTGGCACGCTGTGGCAGTGGTTGAGTCAGGGGCTGGGTGCTAGGAACTTGGGTTGGGAAGTCCCTTCTTTGATTCCTGGTAGACGTTCACCTTTCTTGACTCTGTCAGCCACCTACTTTTCCAACTTAGAACAATGGCAGAGAAAACATTTTGCTTTATGTCTCAGTGGGATGTGATATTGGATTGGGTCCGACAAATTCTTCCAGGTTCTCATGGCTTTTGAACACAGTGTTTTACTGAAAGTCTGGTTTTGGATATATATACATGTATTTTTTCACAATAAAAAAAAAGGTCAGCATTCAAAGCTAACATTCACTGAACATTAAATACGTCAAACTGACTTTAGGCCAACTGACATTCCTTATTTTTGGATAATTTGAATCACAACTGTAGGTTTCAGAATTAGCTTTACATTTTTCAGTGAGTCACATAGATGAGAAATGTTTTGAATACACTGTCTAAAAATATTCAACCCCCTACATTCGGATTCATTGCATAATAAATTTCAATGTGTGGATTTATACTTTGCATTTATTTATTCTAAAATTTGTGTTGCGTAAACTCCCATGCTGGCAATTTGTTTCGGTTTCCGAATAAGTGTTGACAATATTGATTTGCTCAATGCATTCCATTTGATTTGCAAGTCAAATACAGTATTAATGCAGGCCCGAACAAGCCTGAAAGGTTTATTTGCCCACTGTAATTCAAGGGAAGTAATTGTGACATCTACTCTAAGTTTTGCACTTGCAGGAAAAAGACATTTTATGCTATTTGAATCTGCTGCATACATTTGCAACCGTTTTATACGCATTATTTTACATTTCTGAAAATAGAGACAAAACAAAGCCATCGCAGGAATTCAGTTGTGACATGAGTTGTTCCACATAGCCAAACAAAGACAAATTTCTAAGCATCCACTCGTCAGTGTTATCTCACACATTGCTCAATGAAACAATAACTGCAATATCTTCACACTATCCACTGTAACTGTGTGAAGGCTGTTGCACAATAAGACAGACCTAACACATGGGCTTTTGTGAGTTGACTGTGCACAGTGTTTCACATCAGGGCAATGAGGGGATTTTTTTTGTGAGGGATTTTAATGGTCACTTGCTATGTAAGACACGCTCCCCTCCATTCTCCCCCTGCTCCTCTCTCTCCCTTGGTGGTTGCTCTGCCAGATAGAGGAACAATGTGGTCTTTCTTACCTGTCGGAGGGTGTACATTCCATCTCGACTAAACCAAGTCTCAATCCAGCCTCCAACCCGCCCCTGCTTGAACAGGGCCCTCACTGCTACGCTGGCTCTGACTCCAGGTGCTCCACATCACACTCCACATACCTTTTTGTTTTTGGGAGGATTTGAAAGGACACAGTTCTTGTACGGTTTGGCCCGGACAGAAACAAACCTCCAGCACACTCACTTTTAAGTCTTTAATCTAACTGTTTTGTATTTGTAATTTTTTCTGGATTGTTAACGTCTATCTACTTCACTGTAGACTGACAGAGTGACTGCCATGGTGTTTGCCAAACTGTTGGTTTGTGGTTTGTCATGTGGGGAAAAGGGAAATTTGGAGGTTGGGGTGTAAGTGTGCTATTAAGGATACATGAGTGCAAAAAACCCTGGTGTGGGTGCTTTACAGGAAGACTGTGTTTGTCTGCACTGAGCCATCCCATTTATGCCGGTGACTGTAAGAGTGGCAGAACAGTCAGAGGCAGACAGTTGAATGAGAGATAGAGCTGGAGAACTTGTGTGCTTTCATTTCTTGTGATCTTTTAGAAGTTATCAACAGCACAACACGTGTTAAAAAGAACTTATCTCCTTATGCTCTCACTCCACCAGGATTGTGCTTTATACCGTGCCTTTTTTTTTTTTTGCACTCATCACCTGTTGAAGACACAGAGAATGCCGCTCAGGTATGTTCACTCACATCGGTTACCTCTACCTCTTCTCTTTCTGTTGCACGACCACAGGCACCGAATCTCTATAACTTTACCACTTCAATCAAATCTTTATTCCATGATGTTCATGTAAAACTTACTTCTCAGACACTGACATCACATCATCGTGTAACAAAGTGAACCTATTAAACAGCATATATTTGTGTGATAATGGTGCAAAAACTTCCTTTAGTTTAAGATCAAATTTCTATTGAAACACATTTTCACAAATTATTGTTTCAAAGACATAACTTTAATTTATGCAGACATTTTTTAACAACGTATTTATATAACCAAGTGAACCAGTGATCTTAGAGCTACAGTGAATTATGATTCATTACAGTAAAGGAAACAACCTTAAAAAAAAAACTTACCACCAACACGACACCGGTTACAGCAGGATGTAATAGTTATAACTGAATGTTTCAGAGCCTTTAAATAGGGCAAACTAATTCACATGTGTCAGGTGAGAGCAGATAATGTGCCACTGTGAGTAATCACCAGGATTATGGTAAATTAATTTAGCTATAAGAGAAACATTTAAGAAAAGTTAGTCTAAAAAAAGAGATAGCCAT